GGGTTTAAGTTTAAATGCAAGTACATTGAAAGTCACTGTAAGCCACATTTATTGAAAAAAATAAAAATAAAAAATCAGTTCCCTGGCACCAACTGACATTTCAAAAGCCTTAGTCACGACCAGTGACTGTGTAAATAAATATACATGTTTTCAACAGTCACTGGTCATGACACCGCACGAAAATAAAACAGAAGATAAAACCATCTGTGGTCACAGGTCATATTAAAATGTGCTGGCTCCCTCTGCTGCAGCCTGACAGTATCTACAAATCTAGAGCACTTGGGAAAGACTTCATGTAGTGAACAACATGCTTTACCTGAGTGGTGATACCCTGGAGCACTGTTGCCTACAAGTACAAGATACACAGCAGTATAAATGGAATATTCAGACCTCCAGTGAAAGGATCTACCACCATTTTCTGGCTGCTCCTGTTAGTAAATGCTACAAGTAGCTCATCTGCCTCCATCCAGGCCTTGATGAGGGAAGGTTTATTTTGATTGGTATATTACCACTTTTGCCTTCAGAACTGCCTTAAATCTTTGCAACATAGAGTCAAAAAGGTGCTGGAAATATTTCTCAGAGATTTTGGTCCATATTAACATGACAAGATCACACAGTTGCTGCTCGTGTTCCACCTGATGACAACGGTGCTCTACTGGATTAAGGCCATTTAAGTACAATGAGCTCACTGTCTGAGATGATCTAAAACAAAAGCAGCCATTGGAAGATGGGTAAACTGCTCATACAGGGATGGACACAATCAGCAACAATCAGAAGTGCAGCTTGCCACCAGAGGAGGCAGACAACATCTTGGGACCCCAGGTTAGTGGGTTTGACTTTAAACAACAGCAGTGGCAACATGTAAAGTTTCCAAGGACAGTAGAAAAGACCTGGCCTCCCTATGTCCATAAATATTTGGACAGAGACAACTTTTTTCTAATTTTGGTGCTGTACATTATCACAATTAATTTTAAATGAAACAACCCAGATGCAGTTGAAGTGCAGACTTTGAGCTTTAATTAAGTGGGTTGAACAAAAAGATTGCATAAAAGTGTGAAGAACTAGTTTTGTCTTCAACAAGTGAAATGCATATTCAGTTGGGTTAAGATCAGGTGACTGGTCTGGCCATTCAAGAATATTCCACTTTAATAAACTCCTGGGTTGCTTTGGCTGTATGTTTTGGGTCATTGTCAGTCTGTATTATGAAATGGCGTCCAGTCAATTTGACTGCATTTAAAGACCTCAGAATTCATCTGGCTGGTTCTGTCCTGTGCCACATCATCATAAATACTAGTGTCTCAGTGCCAGTGGCAGCCATGCATGCCCAAGCCATCACACTGCCTCTGCCATGTTTTACAGATGTTTTGGTATGCCTTGGATCATGAGCTGTTCCATGCCTTCTCCATGCTTTTTTCTTGCCATCATTCTGGTAGAGGTTGATCTTGCTTTCATTTGTCCAATGAATTGCTGTTTTCCCATCTTAAGGATGGCTTGTTTCACCTGCATAAAGAACTCCTTTAACCACATTTTCCACAAAATCTTCCAAATGCAAGCACCACACCTCAAATCAACTCCAGGCCATTTAGTTGTTTAATAGATAATGACATACCCTCAAATCAAAGCTGAGAGTCTACACATTATGTCCATTTGTTTTAGCATGTATTTAATGTTTTGACTGCTCTAGGACAGTAATAATAAGGCATATTTTATTTCATTCATTTATTGTAGTGTGTACCATTTATGCACGCATGTACAGTAGATGATTCTGTGGAAAATTAAGTTGGAAAAAAGTTTGAATTCAATTCCTACCATGCTACATTTCTTTGTACAAACCTCAGTATCTTCAGTTACATTTGGTTAGACAAGTACAACTACAGAAAGCTGAAAGCCACTTCTCTCTGTCATATTTTCAGCAAACCTGCCTATGCATGCCCACAGTGGCCAGGTGTGGATGGGTTTTATGGGCAGGGCAAAGCCAAGTTGTCCCTCGCAGACCACAAATGGGTGTGCCCACACACAGCCCAGGGGTTTGTGTGGTTTTGGAGCCCCTGTGTAGGTTTTCTGTGGGCGCAAGTCAATATAGGCTAGGTCATGTTTTCCTCGATTTATTATGTTAAGATTAAAATGTTGTATTTATGTTAAGACCAACTTAAATTACACTATAACATAAATAATAACTGCAGCCAGATGCCTCTGGAATATTTTTACATTGTTGTAATATGAATGATCTGAGAACTTCTTCCACCACAGGCTTCAGTTTTGAATGAGAACAGTTGAGAAATACAGTGGGGCAAAAAAGTATTTAGTCAGCCACCGATTGTGCAAGTTCCCCCACCTAAAATGATGAATGACAGAGGTCAGTAATTTGCACCAGAGGTACACTTCAACTGTGAGAGACAGAATGTGAAAAAAAAATCCATGAATCCACATGGTAGGATTTGTAAAGAATTTATTCGTAAATCAGGGTGGAAAATAAGTATTTGGTCACCTCAAACAAGGAAAATCTCTGGCTCTCACAGACCTGTAACGTCTTCTGTAAGAAGCTTTTCTGTCCCCCACTCGTTACCTGTATGAATGGCACCTGTTTGAACTCATCATCTGTATAAAAGACACCTGTCCACAGCCTCAAACAGTCAGACTCCAAACTCCGCCATGGCCAAGACCAAAGAGCTTTCGAAGGACACCAGGAAAAGTATTGTAGACCTGCACCAGACTGGGAAGAGTGAATCTACAATAGGCAAGCAGCTTGGTGTGAAAAAATCAACTGTGGGAGCAATCATCAGAAAATGGAAGACATACAAGACCACTGATAATCTCCCTCGATCTGGGGCTCCACGCAAGATCTCATCCCGTGGGGTCAAAATGATCATGAGAACGGTGAGCAAAGATCCCAGAACCACACGGGGGGACCTGGTGAATGACCTGCAGAGAGCTGGGACCAAAGTAACAAAGGTCACCATCAGTAACACACTACAACGGCAGGGAATCAAATCCCGCAGTGCCAGACGTGTTCCGCTGCTGAAGCCAGTGCATGTCCAGGCCCGTCTGAAGTTTGCCAGAGAGCACATGGATGATACAGCAGAGGATTGGGAGAATGTCATGTGGTCAGATGAAACCAAAGTAGAACTTTTTGGTATAAACTCAACTCGTCGTGTTTGGAGGAAGAAGAATACTGAGTTGCATCCCAAGAACACCATACCTACTGTGAAGCACGGGGGTGGAAACATCATGCTATGGGGCTGTTTTTCTGCCAAGGGGACAGGACGACTGATCCGTGTTAAGGACAGAATGAATGGGGCCATGTATCGTGAGATTTTGAGCCAAAACCTCCTTCCATCAGTGAGAACTTTGAAGATGAAACGAGGCTGGGTCTTCCAACATGACAATGATCCAAAACACACCGCCCGGGCAACAAAGGAGTGGCTCCGTAAGAAGCATTTGAAAGTCCTGGAGTGGCCTAGCCAGTCTCCAGACCTCAACCCCATAGAAAATCTGTGGCGGGAGTTGAAAGTCCGTGTTGCTCGGCGACAGCCCCAAAACATCACTGCTCTCGAGAAGATCTGCATGGAGGAATGGGCCAAAATACCAGCTACTGTGTGTGCAAACCTGGTAAAGACCTATAGTAAACGTTTGACCTCTGTTATTGCCAACAAAGGTTATGTTACAAAGTATTGAGTTGTATTTTTGTTATTGACCAAATACTTATTTTCCACCCTGATTTACGAATAAATTCTTTACAAATCCTACCATGTGGATTCATGGATTTTTTTTCACATTCTGTCTCTCACAGTTGAAGTGTACCTCTGGTGCAAATTACTGACCTCTGTCATCATTTTAGGTGGGGGAACTTGCACAATCGGTGGCTGACTAAATACTTTTTTGCCCCACTGTATATGCATTTGTTATAAGAAAGGAGGCAGCACGGTGGCACGGTGGTTAGCACTGTTGCCGCACAGCAAGAAGGTCCTGAGTTCAATTCCAACATCAGGCCGGGGTCTTTCTGTGTGGAGTTTGCATGTTCTCCCCGTGTTTGCGTGGGTTCTCTCCGGGTACTCCGGCTTCCTCCCACCGTCCAAAGACATGCAGCTTGTGGGGATAGGTTAATTGATTAATCCAAATTGTCACTAGGTGTGAATGTGAGTGTGAATGGTTGTCTGTCCCTATGTGTTAGCCCTGCGACAGACTGGCGACCTGTCCAGGGTGTACCCCGCCTTTCGCCCTATGACAGCTGGGATAGGCTCCAGCACCCCCCGCGACCCTGAAAAGGATAAGCGGAAGCCAATGGATGGATAAGAAAGGAGGAAGAATAGAAGAATTGTCCGCTCGTTCACCTTGACATAAACAGATCACAATGTTCAGTTTGACTCAGTAATACCTCAACAGCTTCTAGACCAAAATGAACAATCTTGGACGCTATGGACAGGAGACACCCGGAACAGTTAGGGAAATATCCCCATCATCAGACTAGTGACTTTTAAATTGCTTTCAGCTTATTAGAACTATTAGTTACAGAGTAAATAACACTGATTCTAAAAATCAACCATATTTGAGCCGACATATATTCTGCAGGACAGCAGCTTGATTTTTTACTTCTTTCACCATGACAACCTTAAAAAAAAATGACAAAAGGTGTTTCAGTGATGAACACATACCGGTAAACATGGATCTGTAGGGCAGAAACTGTTTAATGAGCTATTGAGTTTGACTGTATAAGTATTGGGACCAATGAATGTACTACTTAAGCCTTTTATTTTTTAGCCAGCTGCTTATACTTTGGTGGAAAAAGTGACTCATATACAATAATGGATGCACAGCAGGAACAGGAAATAACAAGCTTATGGCAAATCTTATAATATTTGTCATTTGTTGTGAGAAGAAAAAAAAAACACCATCTACATATTATTATTATTATAAACAGTTTATTGTCTTCTTTTACTAACAAATTGTCATTATTATTGCTTTTAATCGTATTTTTTTTTGCTATGTGTCCTTATAAGATACTGTATAAATAAAGGTTGTGCTGCATGATCCTTATATGACTTTTACACAGTCTCTGTGGGAATGACAGGCCACACATGAGTGATATCACTACAGTTAAACACAAACATATAGTATGCAGTAGTTACTCGGTTATTTAGCACACGGAGCGTCTTCTCTGCAGTCCCTTCTGCTGAGCGTTGATTGTAAAATTGCCTTATGGTGAATCAGCAGGGGTCGCTGTGGAAATTGCTCTCTGTGGCAAAGTATCCCCGTGTTATGAAAGCACACACGTGAGTTTGTAAACACGAGATAGAGAGAGAGAGTGGAGGAGGACGGCCATTCTCCCAGCTCAGTAATATGAGGCCTTCTTACTTTCCTTTGGCGCTGTTTGCCAACATCCTGTGTCTGTGTGAGAGCTACACCCTCAGGAGCTCCGTGTCCTGGGTGGTGTCCTCCAACGATGTGGTGGAGGACGGAGACTTGTCGGAGGAGGTCGCCCCGGCGCTGCTGGTGGACAGTGCGGGGCTGTGGAAGCAGGCGTATCCGTCCTCCAACGTCCTCGGAGACAGCGTGGAGAGCCCCGGAGAGCTGGTCAAGCCCGAGGGCGACAGCGCCGCACAGCTTTCCTCTCGCCTGTTTTCATATCGGTTAGAGAAGGTGAAGAAGTCCGCCAGCAGCACTCCTCCCCCGCACCAAGACACAGCAAAGACTGCCAGATACATATCTCATTACAGTGACTGGGGGTACCTGGCCACCATTTCCACTCAAGAAAAGGTAACGCACACAGAGGGGATAGTGGTCCCGGTTCAGGATTTCTTTGCGCATTTAAGCGTAATGGGACAAGCTGAGGAACACGCCCATGTTCTCACCATAATATGAAAAAGATACCCCTCTACCTTTGTGCGTGGACCCTTTGATTTTACACGAAACACGATCAGCTTTTTAAATACACTGATGAAGATTTGAAGAAAATTCACCAGTGAAAATCAAACGCATATGCAGGAAATCACACCGAGTGACAAGTACTGAAAATAGCCTTAAAAAATCTCCTTACGCAAGACCAGAACTGAGATCAGCCCGAAGTGCCTTTTGGGATACACCCTGCGTATGTAATGTGAATTTAACTGAGAAATAGCTTCAGTCTAATGGGTGAAGCTCTGCATGGATGGGTGTCCTTCTCGAGCTTCTCCCATCTCAACAAACGAGCTCCATCTGTTTGTTATTTTAAAATGGAGCTCATGAATTTGCTGTTGCACTAAAAACTCTTCCGAGTGATCTCAAATATCAAAGCTGAAGGCATAGCTGTTCTGTTAAGCTTTTGGAAACTGCTGATTTCTGGAACTGATTGGTTGTCATTGGGCTATTTCATGTAAAAACTTCATTACATTTTTTAGGATCACGTTTATTTCATTTTAGTGTAATTTTATTGGTTTTATGCGCTAAAATTTACTTACTTAAAACAAGCACAAAGGATCTGTGTTGCGTAAAACCTATGTCTTTATAAATGCATAAAAATATAAGTTTTTATATACTGTAAAAATATAGCACATTTTTTTTATGTGTGTGTGTACAGATCAAAGGTCTTCCTTTTGGAAACATCTTCTCAGTGAGTGATGGACCACTGGACAACAGCACTGGAGTCATCTATTTTTACGTGACTCCAATGGACAACACTGTGGCAGACCTGAAAAGCAACCCCTATGCTTCTCTCACCTTCTCAGAGGCTGAGGGGGAATTCTGCAGGTAATCTAAATGTTGTTCTGTGGGGGGAAAAACACCCATCTATCTGATTATTGAGATCCTCTAGCCAGATGCTCTTAGGTGTTGATTTAGACACAGAGGGGATTGGCCTTTTTTCACTCACAGCCTCTAGACTGGCACTTGATAATCGTACTGCACAGTCTATGCAGTCTTTAAAGTCCCATATTAAAGCTCACATTTTTACCTTGGCTGTTAATTTCAGTTAACTTTGAGTCCCATTAGGTATTCTTGTGTTGTTGCTTCTGTCAGTTTGTTTTTAGTCACATTTTATTGTATTTGGGTTTTTTTATGAGTTATTTTATTGTATTTATTTTATTGATCGCAGTTTTTGTCTCGTTTGCATTTGTAAAGCATGTTGGTCAACCTTGTCGCTTTTAAATGTGCTGTAGAAATAAAATTGACATTATTGCTCATTTAATGAAACACAAAGTGAAATAACAGTTTTAGATATGAAAGAAGCTTTCTTAAAAATATGCCCTAATTACTTCAAGAGAAAGATCATGGATGTAGTGAAGCAGGACATGCAGAGGAGGATGGAGAGGTAGAGTGAGATGGAGGCAGATGATTTGCTGTGGCGACCCTTAAAGAGAGCTGCTGAAAGAAGATGTTTTGAGCTTCAAACAGTTTCCACAAACTAGTTGACACAGTAATCTTGGGGATTTTGGGACAGTTTGCTTGTTTGGTCTAACCTCAGCTAAATCACCGCTGTAGCTTTCTGAAACACTACATACAGCTGTGTGTCTTGCAATGTTGAATGCTCTCCTGTGTGTGTGTGTGTGTGTGTGTGTGTGTGTGTGTGTGTGTGTGTGTGTGTGTGTGTGTTTGTTCTTTTTAAGGCAAATGGTGTATGATCCAGAGGATCCCAGATGTGCTCGACTCACGCTCACGGGCAAGATGATCGAGGTGGCCCCGGAGGAGCTTGCGTTTGCGAAGGAGGCAGTGTTCTCAAGGTAACAGAGCATGTAGAAGATGTATTTTCCTTAGGGAAACACCATTTGGCATGCGTGACATGTATCCTGATATTTTGCACAATGTTTCAAAGGCATCCTGTTATGGCAAAGTGGCCAGTGGGACACAAGTGGTTCTTCATGAAGCTGGAGTTGATTCAGATCTGGCTGCAAGACTGGGTCGGGGGTACAACGCTCATTCCGCTGGAGGACTACTTTAAAGCTACTCCTTTCTGAGAATATCCCTCACAAATGCTATCTGCCCCACAGATATCACTCCAGTAAGGTGTTCACAAATTCACAAAGCAGAATGTGCAAAGAATGTTTTAAATCTTGTTTAAAATCCTGTTTCAATTCATCTGTAAGGCAGGGGTTGTTCTTCATGCCTACATTTTCTCTTCTTTCATATCTTTGTTTGTCACACAAGATCAGTTACTTGTGTTTGATGCGTGAATGTATTTATAGTCAATAAATGACTTAAACTCCTCACATCTGTGAATGCAGTTTGTATGAAACATAGATTGTTTGTTGATTGCATCTTGGGTTCACACTAAGATGCATTTTTTTTAAAGAAATAAAATTAATATTGTGCATATTATTTAAAGTAAATATAAATTTGTTGTCTATTGTTAGTATTAACTGATTCACACTCCTAAACCTGTCATTTTCATTTTTAAACAAATATGGTGATTGTGTTATTAACAACAGAACATAGAAAACAAATCTAATGTTTAAATTGAGATATTTTACTGCTGCATGAAAAAAACCAACTCATTTTGAATTTGACAGCAACTTGTTTCAAAAAACATTGGGCAGCTATTTTTTGCACAGTTAAACCCTTTTAAATTTCATATTCGAATATGAATATGCTTCTTGTAGTTTAAGTCTTATTATTTGCTTGCATTATGTTCTGCGTTGAGAGGGTGCCAGCTGAGGGTGCATACAAATACAAGCTAAAGTTTTGGGCACTAGATGGTGCACTTAATGCGTGTTGGGGGGAAAAAAATAGCCGGTTGGTGGAAAAAGCACAAGTTTGACATTATAGAGTTTTCTAGTAATTTCACAACAATTCCCACGTCAATAATGCTGGTTTATTTTATTTTTTAGGTTTCATCTACAGTGGGGGGTTTGAAACTTAAAAATGATTGTGTTAAAGTTGGAGTGAGAATTTAACAGATTTTTTTCCCCCAGGTGCAGCAATGATAGCTTTAAACAAAGATATGAAAATAGCAGTCCTTTCAAACACCTGGAATGACTGCATGCTCGTCCCGTCGTGAGTTGCACCACTGTTGTCGACCACAACAGTGAGTCGAGTGAGTGCTTTATTTTGAAGGTTCTTACCGGAAGCCCAGTTTGCATATACTACCGTAATTTCCCTAAAAGCACCCAAGGTAGACCGGTTTATTTATATAACATGTAAAAAAGAAATCATTTGCGCTTGGTTAATTTTAGGGGTTGTGTTAATTGAGGTGTGCCGTAGAACTCCTCCGCGACAGTCAGCGCAGAATGAGCCCCCTGTCCGCTTGGCTTTAGTTTACCCGGCTGGTTTCAACTTCGTGTTAGCTCGTCAGCTAAGTAGCTAACAGACGTTCTGTCGCAGTATGCGGGTCGACTAGCAGTGACGGTTAAAACTTGGTTGTTTTGTGGAAGACGCTCAGTGAGTTAGCCGCACTCTACCGTGTTTATTTGCGTATGTTTTAACCCTGCTCTCCGTTAAAGCGAAATCAACGTGATTCGAGGCGTAGCCTTTAGGACACCGTCAGAGACCCACCAGCCTATCCCGGACGATCAGTAGTCACACTGTTGAGATGACATCTACTTGTAACTTGTAGCTTAACGGCTGGCTTTGAAAACACTATGGATTGTATTGGCAACTAGTTCGTTCTTTTTAAACCCACAATGTAAGCTATATTGTCTCACAAACAAAGCAGCTGACTGATAACCGATAGGCTAGGTTAGCACGTATGTTTTTTTAGTCCCGCGAACAACGAAAAGAGAAGACGCTCCGACAGGGCTACAGCAGCGCCCTTGTTTCCGTGCGCAGAAGTCGGTGTTCACCCTCCCCGTTAAGCGGAGCGTTTTTACGAGTTGAAGCACCCTATGCCCGTGCCTACGCCCGTCTCCACATCCTGAAGCCAGAGAGAGAGAGACGGAGGGAGGGAGGCAGTGGCAGCTCCGGGGTCCCCGACACTCAGCCGAGGAGAGGCATCGCTGAAATGAGATGAGGCTCAGAAATGGAACTGTGGCCACTGCACTTATCTTCTTCACGTCTTTCCTTAGTCTCTCTTGGTATACAGCGTGGCAGAATGGCAAAGGTAAGTTGGACATTTGTGTCATCTCGGTTATCCCCCCCACCCCGTATAAAAAATGTCAGAAGGATCGACGGTCTCTAGACGAGGCCTGGTTAACAAGCTGGCAGGCAGAAAGCTGAAGCATGACCAGCAAGCAGCATGTCTTAAGACACAGCAGGTGAAGTCATCCATCCCGTGGAACTGGTTTCAACGTGGTAATGCGTAATAACCCGTGTTATCGCTATAATAAATGGATGGAGTTCTTTTGTTTTAAGCTTTATTGTGCCCCATCTCCTGTCCCAGTTAATCATACCCAAAGTGCTGTTTCCAGCCATCCTCACTAACTTAGGGATAATCTAGTTTGCCCCTGCCAGGCAAAACCTCTAGATAATTACGCCATTCACTAACATTAGGTTTCTGCATACACGTCTTTAATGACTCTCATCTGAGCATTACATGTCAGGCATCTGTGCCTGGGCTTATTACACAAGTGTGGCTGTGTTACAGTACACAGCTTATGGCTGAGTGCTTACTTTCCAGTGTGGTGTGGGCAGGAATATGGGCCTTGGTCTTGTTACCAGCAGGGTGTAAATAATTGCAGCCCATATATAAATTCCAAACCAGGGATTCAGGTTGTGATTACTGCAGAGCGTATCAGCTTGATGAAATGTTTTCTTTTAAATGGAGCAGGCTCAGACTGGTGATTATATGAAAGTGGGCGTATGGGGGGGTAGAGGTTATGAGACGATGCCACCATAAATGTTGCACCTGTTGATACAGTTAGTAAGTCTGTATGGGATAAAGCTATGGCAGGTCAGTCTGTTCAATTTGACAGTTGTCACAAGCCAACAAAATTATAATACTGGCTCCTGGTCTTTATATAAATCCTTAACATGTACTGTTTAATTGTGGCTCACAATGTAGATGATGTGCTCACCTGTACAACTTATAAACCATTAAGGTTGCCATTAAAATACAGTGCATGTGTCCAACCATGGTTATCCAGTAGCAAGTGTATGAGACAATTTGTTATTTTAAATTTGACTTCACACTTGTCCACAAACCATCTCCACATCTCATCCCTGTGAACACAATAACTCAGCTGCTCTGTGAGGATATTTCCTCAAACTTGGCAGAAATAGTCTTGTATGCATGGATGAAGTGATTGAATATTTGTGCTCTGACAGACTAAAATAATGAAGTCACAACTTTTTATCCCAAAAGGTCACCTTCAATTTGACATAATCATACCCTGTATGAATACGTATCTGGACATTATACAACGGCGTAACTCAGGAAGACAAAGGTTGACTGTAAATAAATGTAGCCTGGGGTGGGCGGTTTAATTTGTTCAAACTTAAAATAAATTTTTTGCTTCTCAATTGGCTAAAATAACAGAAAAATACATAGATTTATTTTAGATAGTTAAAAATAGTTTTAGTTAAAATGACATTTTCCCTTCCCATTATCACCAACGGCGTACATTTAGGTGTTTGTCTGATTGTTGGAATTTCACTTTTTATTTGTTATTCCAGGATTTTTACTGTACAATGAAAAGCGATTTGAGACGACCGTTGCTGTGATTTGGTGCTATATAAATAATTAAAATCCCAAATAACTATTTTGAACCTGGTAAATCTGTGATTGCTGCCAATAGTCTTCAATTGTAACACTGAAATTGTGGTAATTGAGTATTTGGTTGTGAGCCAGGTGTGCTTTAGAATTTGTAGCTTCCTTGCAGCAACACTCAAATCTGAAATTCTTTATACTGTTATTGCCACAACTAAGTGTTCACACTGGGCTTTATTTGTGAAGCTTGTAAATACCTGCAAGGAATTTGACTTTTGTGTTACTCACAATAAAATCACTCCCTAATTGTAGACATACAATTAGAACAAGAAAAAAAAGCTCAGCAAAGTTATTTCCGGTGATTGTTCCTGTTTCATACATTAAAGTCTTAATATCCTGTTACAGTCAACGTCTGTAATGAAACAGAAAAATACAGATATGAAAATGTGACCTGTCTGGCAAGTTGAGCTGATAGTTCTGTTTTTCCTAGAGTCTTGTGGTAATGAAATCCAAACATTACTCAGTATGGAATTATTATAACATAGATTTGATCTTGTCCTAGAAGGAGAAGAACTGGTGTCACTTAAAACACAAACCATTAACTTATTGTATTCAGCTCGGCCTTCGCAGCGGCAGTTAAAGCTCTATGCTCAAAACAAGGATCCTGAAACTGACCTGAACTCCGCTCTTGTCAGTTTTATTACAGCGCTTGTGACTTTCTTAGTGTGAAAACATCTTTGTAGACGAGGGCTACACAGACGAATGCAGTAATGCTGCTATTTAAAAAAAAATGCTTTGAGCTGAAAGATCTCAACATGCTAGAGCTTAAAGGATCCCTGTGGAGCATTTGACCTCTGTGCTTTTTTTTTCTTCTTCTTCTGAGTGGCTCCCTGTTTTTGTTTGTCACATGCACGAGCACGAGTGTGTATGTGCAAGACATCTCATGCACAGTGTCAAATACAATCCACACAGGTCCACTCATCTATGGTTGCAGGAAGATGCCAGGAATGTGCCAACAAAGGCTGGGAAAAACAAGATTGCCAGCTAATAGACGTGCATGTAAACGGATGTTGGTTTCTAAGCTTTATTTGTGCCGTGGTGGCCTGGGGTTTGTGTGTTTGCTTGCAGTTTTGTATATGAAACAAGCTCTTCTTTATGCTTTGTTGGCAAATTGGCCTTTAATGTGATTGTGCTTTTATTATTTGGAGCATTCCTTTCCTAAATGCTGTCTTTGTGTTGAAGTTTTGTTTATGTCTGCATATGCTAAGCTACAGCGCAATAACATGATCCTGAAATAGGGGGAAAAAAAATGCATATTTTAAAGAAAATTAGCCGTGACTTTGTTGTTTGTGTGCATCTGTCTCTCGTGTTCTATCTATTGTTAAAAACACCAAACTGTGGGAGTGGGACAGATAAAAGCTATTTAGTTAGAATTAATAAAAATAAATTGTAATTAAAAGCTATATAGCACTTAGATGTACACTTAGATTTTTTATTTTTAGAAAGTGATCTAATCACTCAGGCTGCCTTTTTCTAACTGTATAATATTTATCAGATCTGTTCCTATAGTGCATTTCATAGTATTAATTCTCCTGATTAGTGTGTGGCTTTTACACTTGTCTTTAGGTA